GTTTCGAAATCCTTTCATGAAGTTAGAGCACCAAGGGAAAGGCAGCAATTTCATAATGACTAATTAGTGCTTGAACTGCAACTTTCAGTAAAAGTTTCCCAGAGAAGACAGACACCTATTTGGACGTTTTTCCAGAGGAAGGCAAGTGCGAGCAAGCTGTGAAACTTCGTTACACTTTGTTCCTGTGAAGTTCCTGGCTGTAGCATCACCGGCACTCTTATTCAAATGTTCATTAGTTCTTCAGGATTTTCAGTGCGTAAAGAAGGAAAACTAACCATCTTCATAGAAAATATATGTGCTATTAGATGTAATGCAACAAGAAAACAGTGTACAGGATGTGTTTTCTAAGTTTTCTCTTATTTGTGATCAGAGATTTGTCATTTACACATAAAAGATTGATCATAATTTGTAGCTTCTTAGTTAGTAGACTGTGAAACAAAAGCAGTGTTCCTTGAAGCTCTTGATCTAGCTTAGTTTCCCAGGTGTCATGGTGAGTTTGTTACTGACATACTGTTGTTTCTTCCTTGGGCTTCTCATGCCTGCCTGACGTATGCTCAGTGTCTTCAGTTTACCATTCAGTATATATATGCTAGACCAAATTTTTGTTCTTGATGTGATGGTATTAAATGCCACCATCACAGGTTTTGCCCAGGATGATAACGTTTAAATGCAGGTATTCAGTTGAATTATTAAAATAAGATTAGAAGAAAGATGGGGACCAACAGGAGACATTTATGTTTTAAGAAAATAGTAGGGGTGGAAAAAAAAGATTTCCTTTTGCTTTGACTCGTCTTTCTTTCAGAAATTAATATCCAGAATGACACACCTGTCAGCTCTGATCTAAGTTCTCATAATGTGTCCTTAACTGACACAAAAACTGACAAAGGAAAAAGGAAATCAAACAGTCTCATAGACATTTATATTTGTGTATAAGAATCCCAATTATAGAAATACTGCCTTAAAAATATTAGCGATATGGGGCTTAAGACATATGGGAAATAATCAACTGATAAGAAAAGGAAATCTATGTGCAATAACATTTGTCCTGAAGCTAATTATAATAGTAAGAATTTGAAGCCAATTTAAATGTCAGCAATAGATACTGTTTTTGAGGCTCTAATTTATGCAAAACATGGTAATAAGTGTTTTATATAAACTGTCTCATTGTGGTAGTTTGAATGAGAATATCCCCCAATGAGCTCCTGTGTTTGAATGCTTGGTCTCCAGTTAGTGAAACTGTTTGGAGAAGACTAGAAGGCATGGCCCTGTTCGAGGAGGTGAGCCCAGATCTATCTGACTTTCTCTCTCTCTCCCTTCCTCTCCCTCCCCTGTCCTTTCCCCCCTTTCCCTCTCCATCTCTTTTCTTTCTCTCCTCTCTACCTGCAACTTTCAGGTCAGATGTGAGCTCTCAACTACTACTCAGACACCTGTATCTGGCTGCCTGCCACCATGCTTCCTACCATGACTCTCTGAACTGTAAGCGAGTCCTCAGTCAACTGCCTTCCTTATAAACTGCCTTGATCATGGTGTCCCTTGACAGCAGCAGAACAGTAACTAAGACACTCATTAAGATTCGAGAGTGAAGCATGGCTGTTATCCAGTTTTACTGGGAAGAACACAAGTCACAGAGAGGATTAATAATTTATTTGGGATTATGTAATTCCAAAGTGGTGGAGCTAGGACCTGGACTATTTTATGTGAGTCAGTAGCTTCTCAATAGGAATGTGATTGAATGGATATTGTTTTATATAAACATGGTGATTATTAAGTAATCATAAATGTGTTTTGAGTAATTGTTAATGAAGAAGAGCTCATTATATAATGCTGAATGTAGAAGATGCACAGTGGCATCGTTAAAGCATGTGGTCTCCAATAGGGTATTGATGTAGAAACAATACTTACCAAATAAATACGTAGAATGATTGTCTCTAAGTGCTGAAATCCTGTGTTCTCTCCACAATCTTCTGTATTTTCAAGCTTCCCATAATTAGCATGTGTTTACAGAATGATCAAGAAAAGTATCTGAAGAAAATAATCGTCAGCTGATTTAAAGAGTTAGTGTTCAGGGCTTTAGCCCGCTAATACACATTGTCCTGGGATCAAGAGCCCGGGGAGGCCAGGCGGGGCCAACACAGTGTGACTTTTCCCTGGAGGAGCAGGGCTGTCTTTGGGGTGTGAGGGCAGGCTGCTGGCAGGGCCACCACCCTGAGCTGTCTGTCCTGCTACAGAACTGAGACTATGAATACATAAAACTAGTGACCAGTACCACGTAAATGTAAACACTAGGTGAGAAGTTCCGCTCTTCACCTGGCCGCCATTTCTAAGTCCTCCTTCATCATTCAGTGAATGGCATGCTTAGTTCCGATGAAGTTACAGGCATGATAGTGAGGCTCAGCAGAGAGCACATGAGGTCTGTCGTGTCACCTGAAACACACTGGAAAGTACTGAATGGTTGCCCCACAGTGATGACAAACAGAGTTTGCCCAGAGGTAGGCAGAGAGTGAAGAGCTAAGAGGATCATTTGGTACCAACTCTGAGAAACAAATAGAACACATTATTTCTGAAACCAGTCCTTAGGATTTGATTAATTTAGCCTGGTATTTTTGGGGCTAAAAAGTATATCTATGCTCCGCTTTTTGCCCAAGGATAAGGAACTATTCTTATAAGAAACAGTCTAACTTCTTTGCAGATACCTTGACCTCTATTAGGATCATCCTTACTTTCAATGTCAGTATATGAAACCTACATAAAAAAAAATCTTTCCAAATTAGAAATTGTTTGGGTTTCTGAATATTAAATATATCTTGTGGAGATATACTAGCCACACAATGTAACACTGTGCTGCAGGACAGAATTGTCCCACTGTGAACAGAATCCCACAGGTAATGAAGCTTAGACATGGCATGAGGTCTGGCAGCATGCTAGTTAAGGGCCTGTGGTTGAGCCTGACATAGGCAGGCTTTTACAGCAGTGAAAGGTCTGTGCATGCACCATTCTATTTATGGATGCTTTCATATGTTAGCGTACTCAAAAGTGCTACAAAATGCTAATAGCCGGCGCATTCACAGGGTAGACCTGGGTTATTTTTATCTCACACTTCTGTTTCCTGTTACAATATCCTCACCATAACTTTCGCTTTTATAATGAAAAAAAAATTAAGTATGATTTATAAAGAAACTCAGTAGCCACTTGGTGGCGGTATGGCATGGCGAATGTATGGTTTCATTTCTAAAAAACGTCCTAGATTTGATTTCTTCTCTGATAGTCCTGTTTATAAGTAATTTTATTCATACATATAGTTCTTTGCAAAATTACCCTGTCATAATTAAGCACCTCTTTTAAATGACTAATTTAATTTAAATTAGTGTACCTCATTGATTTGAAACTATGATAACAAACTCTAAAGGAAAATTGTATTTACTCATTAAGGCTAATAAATGTGAAATATAGTAATTTTCATATGATAAAAGTTAATAACCCAGTGAAGTTTTCATTGCCAAATAACCAACTGTAGTTTATGCAACAAAATAACATTAGCTTGTGTTTTGAAAGTGCAGTTTATTATTTTTAAATACAAATGCTAGCTTTCAAATGATAAAAGTGAAAATAAGAAAAACAGCAACATATGCTGTAAACACTTTACCCAAGGGAAAATTCTGCTGCATTTTAATGTTGTATTTCTGGTTTTAGAACTGCAGAAGCATGTAGCTGCAGGTCCTTCTTGAGTTGTGAGAGTTATCACTGCTTTGTGCACATGTACATGAGCAAACCTGGCTTCTGGCCATGACTGCTTAACCTCCACCACTCAGAATTTAGTGGAGTCACTTGCCAGAGAGCAGAAGAAACTTAGCAAACCACCAAGAAGCTCAAAACAACTTCTGGTTGCCATAATTCGCAGGAAACACTTTTCCTCTTGCTGTAGAAAGAAAGAGTCACAGCACAGGACAGACCTTTCAGTTTTCTGGTGCTTTCATCTTCTAAAGATCCCAGTCCATAGTTTACAGAAAACTGCCCTTCAGTTGCTTGCATACAATTAGCTTTTTCAAAAAATTCTAAAGGCCGATAGGAATCTTTTCTTTGAATACGTGCTGTCCATTCTTTAATTAGCGTCCCATGGACGACACTTTATCCCATAAGCCTTTGACCACTTGACAACAGGGGCATCTCAGGTTATGCAAGACACTTTTTTCAAAAGGTAAATTTGAATAGTGACACCGGAATGACTGGAAAGCTGCAGTCTGAGGGATGCTGAACTTAGAACCTTCTTCAGAATCAAAACCTTCTTCAGATCTGTCTTCTGCCAACTTTGAGGGTTGTGTCTTTGATGTTACCTCTGGCTTTTCTCAATTATTCGGAAGCAGGAGATGGGCACGCTTGCTCTGGAACTCCCTTGAATTCAGACTTAAAGCAAAATAACTGCCAAGATTTCTTACCTCTCCCAGTTCTGAAGCGTTCGTTAGTGGGGCCCTGACAGAGCTGGCTGAGATCCGAGGGAGCAGGAAAGCAGCAGAGAGGAGGCATTAGTGACACCTCACCTCTGTGTTAGAGCCCTCCAGTGCCTGCTCACAAAAGTTCAGCTTAGGGCAGCCAAACCAGAGCCTGTCCACAGGCAGAGGCGACACGGCCCGGACCGTCAAGGCAGCCTAGGGTCTTGGCATCACCTATTTGAAGAAACCAAGCAGGGGCAAGTTACTGTGCATTTTTGTGGCTGGGTGGAATTTTTATCTTGGTATTGTCTTGGTTTTTGTTGCCTAGAAACCGAGTGAAATTGCTTGCCACGCTGGAATGTTAAAGACTGGTATAGTTCCTCCTTTGAGATGTAGGTGCTAAAAAGAAAATAAAGGAAGGTAGACCTTTGAGGTGTTTGCCTTATGCCTCTCTCTGAACCTATTAAAATTACTAGTGTAATCATCTCCAGACAAGAGAAGACTGTCTCAGGAAAGTGAGCAGCCTGAAAGCTAAGACCTAAAATGCTGATACTCTTCTTTCTTTTTTTTAAGTTTCCCAGGTCACATCAAAATCATCCCATGAACCTCAGAAGACTGAGATGCTCACTGATACAATCTTCAAAGGACATCTTATTTCTGGTAAACACACACACACACACACACACACTTGTGCGCGTGCGTGCGTGCGTGCGTGCATGCGTGCGTGCGTGTGTGTGTGTGTGTGTGTGTGTGTGTGTGTACTAAGGGCTCCTTAGCAGATAACTTCCACACCAAAAACAGTGTATCAGCATTTCTGGGAAATACAACAACCAGCTACTTTCTATGGGAAAATACTTACTTAGATTTAAGATGTGCTTACACTTAATGCAAACAATAGTTCAGCGATGCCTGTCTGCTGCGGGAGTGAGGTGGTTACTCTGTCATTTCAGCAGGCTTCGGGTTTCCAGTCCCAAAAATGTATTTTTTAAAAAAATATACCACCTACCCACCATGTGCTAGGATTGTATTTGCATCGTCTGTCAATATCGAGAGCAGCCTGGTGAGATAAATGCCATGGCTCTACTTTATAGATGGAAAAACTGAAATTCAGGAAGGTTGAAAAGTGTTCAAATTACAAAGCTGTTAGAAATTCAGATATTACTTTTTTGCTTTCCGTTAATTTGTTTGTTTATAATTGTGTTTCTCAAGACAGGGTCTCACACTATAGTCCAGTTCCAAGATATCCTGAAACCCACAACAAGCCTCCTGCCTCAGTTTCCCAAATGCTGGGGTTACAGGCATGAGACGTCACATTCAGCCCTATTCTTTTAACTACACGTTTATGCTTTTTCTCATAGATGAACCAGCTCTCGTTTTGTTTGTTAGCATGGCTTGATCTGTTTGTGGACATGTCTAAATGTTTCAGGCATGTAAAGATAGTAGATGATATGGTACAATGGGCAAACATAACACTAAATTGAAATTTGACATTAAAAATCTTGAGGCCTGACTACTTCACTAGTAGACTGTTTACTTCCTGGCACAGAAATCTAAAAATTTCAGATTGTATTGATATTTTTATATTTTTGTTAGTTTATTCAACAAATGTGTGTTAAATAACTATGTGCTAGGTACTGTTCTGGGTGATGAGAAGTTAACAATAAAAAGACGGACAAAGCTGGACATGTTGGGATATGCCTATAATCTTAGCAATTAGAGGTGGAAGCAGAAAGGTTAATAATTCAAAACCTCAGGTTGAAGCCAGTTTAAGCTACATGAAACCTTTTCAAAGAAGGGGTCATGGAGGGAGGGAGAGAGGAAGGAAGGAAGGAAGGAAGGAAGGAAGGAAGGAAGGAAGGAAGGAAGGAAGGAAGGAAGGAA